AGAGAGAGAGAACAAGAAACTACAAGGAGTTTGGAATTATTTTCTTGACTGGAGCAGGAAACCATAACCAATTTGAATTTGGGTTTCATACCTGATAAAGAAGCCTCCATTTCATTGGAATTCAGAGGAATAATCTCCATTGGTACATGTTCCCTTTCTTGATCGATATGAGAAGATGACATGGCTCCAGAATTCACAATGGATGCTTGATTCTCTTCTTCATCGGAGGAAGAGTCTTGCACTTGCAGAGATGTTGCCAGTGGACTAGAGAGAGAAACTGCGATTGGGTTTTCCCTCTCTTCTGGAACATCCATGGATTCGTGTACTTCTTCTGATGAAGAGCACGAACCATGAACCAAACTCGTGATCTCTTCCAAACCAGATAGAGAACCCGGAGTTGTATCCAAATTATCTTGTGAACCAGCTGCAGGAATCATGGTGGGCACCAAATTCTCCATTGAAGCAACAGAAGTCGTCAAAAGATTTATTGAATCAGTAGAAGAAGCACTTCTTTTGGGCGTTCCTATGTCAGGAGAAGAGTCATCACCATTGCTGTGTGGGTTTGGAGGTCTTTCTCGTCTGAGGGCATTGGATGAGTCCTCCATGGATGGAACAGGGGCAATCAAGCACAATTACAGAGAAACCAAGAAAGAGAAGGGGAGATGGCAGAAAGAACAAGATTCTAGAGAGAGAGATGCAATGTTTAGTTAGAGAGAGAAATGGAGAAAAGCAGAGGGAGAGAGAGCAGGGGTTTGTGATTAATTTGAAAAGGAGGCGGGGTACAAGAAACAGCTGCTCTTCAAATAACGGTTTTAACGGTTACTTTGTTTGCTTTGTAATGATAACGACACAAGCAGAACAATGTTCTTGTAAAACAAAAAAAATAATTCTACTCAATGCGTATCTACTCCTTCCGGTAAAATCTTTCCTAGAATTAATTTTAGGAATCCAAATATGGTGATATAAGCTCTTCAACCCATAAATTAATCTTAATAAAAAATATTCTAATTGTACCCTCTACGTATTTGAAGAAATAATGTCTCGAAATTTAATAGAGGCAATCCCATTTTTAGATGATGAGATATAGAAAACTCTAATTTTTTTTTTTTTTTTTTTTTTTGAGGATATCTACCTCTTAAATCTTAAGGGGTTTCGAAATCTGAGATTGAAAAATTCTCCCAAGTAGGCCTTATGACCGAGGTAATTGAAATAAACCATGCTATATATGCCTATTGAGGGCCGTATACTATGAGACTGTGTAATTTTAATACAAGGAGCTCCTAATCATCCTTGGCCATGAGATATGAAATCTGACAGCTTAAAGTGTGTCACATAGTTCGAGATATTTTTTTTTGGACTTGTGCTTTGTCAATGACACACATCCAACCACCCGATTTCACATCTAACAGTGGATAATAATTGTGACTTCCTATTATAAAAAATAAATGGTCTTATTGCATATATTTCTTATTATTACTATTATTATAATTATTTTAACATGAATTATTCCGCAGAGTAATTTCCACATCCAAATCTAGCTAGTAAAGCATAACTAAAGTTTATTTATAATCAAATAAGCATTAGCACACTATCTTGCTTACATTTTTCATGGGACAAAAGTGGATTCTTTTTTAGATCATGGATATGATTCCACAATGGTTTTAATGTATGTGGGTACTAATTCTCTTTTACACCATTTGATTGCATTCGTGTAGGTCCTGGGGAGCCCCTCGCTTATAAAATTAGGAATTATAAATACTAGAATCTTACCCAAGATCATGTACATAGTTGGGTAGACACAAAATCAGAATACAATAAATATGAAAGGCACACCACGATGACATCTTAGGAGGCCATATCTCTCTCTATTGGAGACTCATCTCCTTCTTGGAGATCGCTTCTCATGACAACAATGGGTACTCTTAAAAGGTCAAGCATTTTCCTTGACTCCCTTAGATAGAGATTACTAGGGTTTCTTTCTTTCTCCCCAAGAAACACCTTTTCTTTTTTACTATAATATTGTCAATCTTTTGAGAAAAATATAGGTACGGTGATATTTCTATCGCCAAATCTAATATTTATAGTCTCCACTTCTATAATCACGTTATGTTGAGCTGCATCTATGAGTTGTAGTCCTTACAACATCATTCTTGAAGAAATCCTTGACATTCTTTCCTAACTGAGGCCCAATTTGTCATTGTCTCCAAAATCCAATGCTTTACTCTTTCCACGTTCCATGCAACTCATTCAAAGGTTTTATATTTTCCCTTTTTCCATACTCCCATAATGCTGATCTCAAACTATAATATCATCATCATTGTCGTTATTATTTGAATTTGTATTTCCCACAATAATGCCACTTGATTGTTAGTAGTCATTAAAACGTTGAGCTTACAACAATTCATGAAACTTGACAGCCGATAGTCACAACAATTTCAGACTTTTGTTTCCAAAAAATGAACCATCGCACCTGAAACAGCCAATTGCAGTAAAAAACCACATTGCTTCAACGAAAACTTGCAGCTCTTATTATAATTGTTTTAATGACAGTCAGAACAAGTTCATCTATATTGAATGGGATATTGTTCTTCTGAAGATTGAGCAGTCTTGTTCGCATGTTTTGATTCTGTTGTCCGTGTCATTCATGTTCTCTATGCATCCAATGCAACCTACTCACTGGCACGGGTGCCTCTGCGCTGATGCGAGCGTGCAAGTGTGCCTCGAGTGCCTATGCACCTAGGCAAGGTGTGACGTCTGTCATATACTACACTCCCTTCTCTTCCTTTTGTTCCATGAACACGAGGGTAGAAGTTGTTTTTTTATGTACACTTTACTCTCTCATACTAATTCTTTGCTACAGGACTAAAATCCCAAATTCCATTTTATGAGTAATACACTATGTCAAAATATATAGTTCTGAAAGATAGGGAAATATCTTTCAAATGACCTACACTACGTTTTCCATGAAAAATGTACAGTTTTGAAAGATGAAGAAATATCTTTGAAATAACCTGCAGTATCTTTCCATGAAAAATACTCTCTCTGCCTTAACACATTGGAACTCTAATGGAGAATTTGAAGCTGACAATGAATTACTTACACTTTCGGGCAAAGAATGAGTGATTTGTACAAAATAATTTGTATTCATAGTACATTGCATAGTAGATAGTGCACAGAGAGAAACTATACAACTTCAAGTAATCCCAGAGTATAAACGCTCACACATACATGTTGAGAGAGAGAGAGAGAGAGCCTGTGTTTGGCTTGCCAAGGGCCATAGCTACACTGGCCACACCACCCTCGCAACTTGTCAGCGTCTGCAGTGTTGGTAAGCGCCACAGAATGTGTAATGACCCGTGAATAACTGCATATCGATTCAATAACATCACATGATCTATCTTCCTCTCTCTAAATAACAGTATCTATATTCTGAATTATTACATGAACGAACTAACAAGGATTTCCTCTCTGTTTGTCAGAAAACATGAATTGATAAACACGGTTTCTTTCTCTCTCTCATAAAAATGAATTAGCAACATGCTCTCTCTCTCTGTCAGGGGTGGATTCTTTGGCCGAAGCACAAGTAATTCAGAAGGATATTGTTCTGCAGTGGAATAATGAAGTCAAGTAGAGGTTTCTTATTGTTACAGACAAACAGTCTTGCAGAGATAGTTGAGTCCAATGTTTCATTCTTGCATATTTTCAGTAAATTATCTTCAAAAATAAATGCATTTCTGCTCACTTATATTTGCAGGTGAGACCTGGATAACAGGGATGACTCTTAGTCTCTAGTACTAATAATATCTCATATTTTGAAGCATATTAACCATGTCTGATCATGTGTATTTTAGAGGTGAGGCATGTTAGAGAGAGAGAGAGAGAGAGAGATACTTGAGCACAAGCGCTTTCACAAACAGATACTAACTCTGGCTTCAACATGATCCACTTCCATGCTCTCTTCTTTCCTAATCCCCTTACTGGACTTTGAGCTCACTTGACCTAGGCTTCTCTTCTACATGAATAGCTTGATTGCTGGTTCCTTCTCTCCCTTTGTTCTTTTCATGGATCGAGAAAAATGAACGACAAGCCTTCCTATTCGTTGCCTCTCCAATATTCACATTGAACTTATCTGTAATGGTCTTTATGACTGGCAATTTAGAGAAGAAGATCGTATCGAGTCCAATTAACTGCTTAGCCACGAAACCCAACTGAGAATTTACATAGTCTAGAGAAGCTTCTTCTTCTTTGAAGGTGCCCAAACGGTCCATTAGATCTGAAACCAGTTTTAGTAAAAACTCATCAAAATGCATGTATGCTGCGTTACTAAGAATCTGAAAGGCTAGAATACTGAGCATCGCCTTTTCGTATAAGGCCTTAAAGAAAGGCGAGTAGCCTTCATTGGGCTCGTCACAAAGGTAATCTGCAATTTTAGTTGAGACCCAAATAAAAGGGTACCCCTCATTGTAACCTGTAATGCACCAGGAGGTGATCTCCCCAAACATCTCACATCTTACCACTTGGTCCGAATTGGCTACATTGAACGGCCAAATCTCAGAGGTAATGTAGAATTCGTCAGACTCTGAGTCTTCAATTGGTTGCATGGCTTCTCTCCCATCCAAAATCTCGAATCCCCTAAGTGTTCGAAGGGGACGCTTAGCTTCACTATCTCCGGTTCGGGTCATGCTAACTGCTTCTGACTCCAATTTTTCTCCTATGTCCTGAGGATCCGTGAGTGCCCTGTCAAGATTCCTCTCATGTGTCTCAGTAGTTTCGAGGGAACTGTTCTCCTCACTACTGAGAGCAATGGAGGGGGACAAAGTCTCTGTCATGGATCTTTCGTGACTACTTTTCATGCACCCCCCATGGTTCGCCTCATTATAATCTTGGATCGAGTAGAAAGAACCGGACAATTTCCATCCATTCGCCGTGTTCATTTGCCTAAGCATTTCAAAATTCTTTACCTGATCCTTAAACTCTGTACTTATTGTTTCTATTACCTGAAAATCAGAGAACCTTTGATCAAGCCCAGCCAGCTGATCAGCTATAAATGGTAGATGATGCCTCACGATGATCACCGCTTCATCATGGCCAAAGCGACCAAGGCATTCATGCGACAAAGTGGCAAGACAATTTGAAAGTCTGTCCATCTCCAGTTCAGGGTCCTCTTCGAGCTCGTGAGTGGCTTGAATGCAGAGTAAGGCCTTATAATGGAAGAAATTATAGAGAGTCTGGTATTCTGTAGCAGCATTTACACAAAGGTAGTCAGCGATGTCTGTCGAGACCCAAATTTCCAGGGACCCTTCACGAAAGCCTGTTATACACCATGAACGAACTGGCCCGAAACACACACAGTAAAACCTAAAATTTAATTCGGCGCCATTAAAAGGAAGAACCACACCTGAGATGAAGAGGTTTCCAGAGCTTCTGTCATCAAAGAAAACCCTATGTGCTGCTGCATTTCTAATGGAAAAATTCACAAGCCTTCTATGGGCTCGACCCAACTCATTTTCGCCAAATCGGGTCAGTTCGACCAAATCTCTCTCATCATTTATTTTCACTATGTACTCGATGGCTGAGTCGTTTGTTGTTGCACGAGGGTGTGATTCTCCACCTGCTACTTCTCCTTCCTCCACTTCTCTCCCTCCTCTTACTTCTGCCACTTCTGGTCTTTCTTCTACTTCTCCGCCTCCTGCTTCTGCCTCTTCTGGTTTTTCTTGTGAATGTTGTCCTTCTTGATTAGTGAGGTCGGGATTCTCCATTGAACCGGGCCATTCTTGACCAGTGGATAAAGCCTCAATGTGTTCTGCATCAAGAAAGAAATGACAGTGGATGAGGCTTTCTCTCCTATCTTGGAGAAAGAAACAGATATGGGTTGGGATTTCATTCCCAAACCAGAGAGAGAAAACCTCATTTGATTCTGATTTCTTCTATGAATAAGAGAGAGAGAAACCTCTACTGATTTACATTGAGGAAGCATGATACATATATCGAGCAAGAATGTTTAAGGAGTTTGGAATTATTTTCTTGATTGGAATAGGAAGCCATAACCAATTTGAAGTCAGGTTTCATACCTGATAAAGGAGCCTCCATTTCATTTGAATTCAGGGGAGTAATCTCCTTTGGTACATGTTCCCTTTCTTGGTCCATGTGAGAAGACGACATGGCTCCAGAATTCACAATGGGTGCTTGTGTCTCTTCTTCACTGAAGCAAGTGTCTTCCACAGGCTGAGATGGCTCCAGTGAACTAGAGAAAGAAGCTGTGATTGGGTTTTCCCTGTCTTTTGAAACCTGCCTGGCTTCGTGTACTTCTTCTGATGCAGAGAGAGAACCATGAACGAGACTCGTGCTCTCCTCCAAACCAGATAAAGAACCCGGAGTTGTCTCCAAAGTCTCTCGTGAACCAGCAGCAGGAGTCATGATGGGCTCTAATTTCTCCATCAAAGCAACAGAAGTCGTCAACATATTTATTGAATCAGTCGAAGAAGCACTTCTTCTGGGCGTTCTTGTGTCAGGTGAAGATTCATTGCCACTGCTTTGCAGGTCTGCAAGTCTTTGCCTTTTGTTTCTCGGGGCATTGGATGAGTCCTCCATGGATGGAGCAGAGTTAAGCAACCGTAATTACAGAGAAACCATAGAGAGAGAGAGAGAGGGTGGGGTGTGTGATTATTTTGGGAAGAAGTCGGGGCAGAAGAAACAGCTGCTGACTCAGCTGCTGTTCAAATAACGGCTTTAACGATATATTGTCTTTCTTTTCACCAAATTCCCTTTACTTAGGATAGTAAAAAATCCTAAGTTACTACGAATAAGTTCTCAATGGCTTCCATGTGTGCAGCAAGAACTTTGAACTTCCGATTTCCAAAATCTGAAGTTCTCTATAGCCTCGAGCAAGCCCGCAGACCTGTTGGGGTCACGGAACTCGTGTGGGCTTGCTGGAGGCAAGACAGAACTTCAGATTTTTACACTACAAAGCCAGAGAATTTCACATTTTCATGATCTGAAGTATTTGTAAGCATTATAATCACATAAGAAAAGGTCCGAGTGTTTTATTACAAATAGGATAAACTTCAGATCTTCAAGATCCTATGTCGTGTTTTATTGCAAATAGGATAAACTTCAGATCTTCAAGATCCTATGTCATCATTTTGAAAAAATAGTAAAAGTTGGATATAGATGTAATAACGTAAAAAAGTTTGGAGATTTCTTAAAATAACGAAACTTTACCAGGATACACGCATAAATTACTCATTACTTTATAATTATGTTGCTATATTATTAATTCTACTAATGAGAAATTCGAATTTCCTTTTGCTTGATAAATAATAAGCAAGTAGAATTTCCAAAATATAGAAACTGAATTTTCATCCTTCCCTTCCTCTTTTTACCAGAAGAAATCTCTCTCTCTCAAGGTTGGTTTCTATTGGTTTTCTCTTAAAAGGTTGGTTTCTACGTATTCATTTATACTTGATGTAATTGCTCTCTACTCTCCCCCTCCCCCTCTCTCTATATATATATATATCTCTCTCTCTAAATTGTAACCAACACAAAGACTCCTGTGGTGAACAAGAAGCTGAGAAAGACTCACATACACTGTCATGCCGAGATTGAATGGCTTATACAATTTTTTTTCACAAATACAACTTCAAGAGATCACGTACTACAGAATGAGAAAGAGAGAGAATATAAAACTTCAAGATGAAGATTGTTTGTGTTTGGCTTGGACAGCTTCGAGTAGTTTCTTGCCGAGGGCCATAGCCACGACTGGAGAAACTGAGCTCGCAATTTGTTGATGCTTTTCATGAATGTCATCACCACAGAATATGTAGCTATCTGAAAATCCCTGCACACAGTACCAATAACATAAGATTAACACTGAGGTACAATATGATATCGCTTTTTTTAAGTGTTAAGACTTTAGAGTTCAGAATATTGACGTCAATTGAGTACACTCCCAGAATTCAGCTAATTCAATGGAGCATATTTAAATTGAGCCTCGGAAGGAGTAAGTGTCACCTCCATGGTGCCGCATGGCTAACAGCCACGTGTCCCAACTCATGCTTAAGAAAGAGAGCCATACCACAGAATTTTGGTTCAAACAGTGTAATCCATGTGTTTTACTGGCCTGGGGTCTATTCTACAAAATTTTGGTTCACTGTGTATTGCAATATGAAATCAGTGTTGGGTTCACCCAATTAGAGCCCTCTCACATGTATGCGGATGCGCGCAGCGAAACACGCATATATGGGATACAAAAAATTATGCCAAAGCCGATGTGTGTGTATGAGTGGGAAAACATGCAAAAAAGCAAATAAAACTTACTGGCACCGAAATTTACATGGTTCATCTTTTCAAACTACGTCCACGGGAGAAATAGACCCACTATTAACTCAATAGTTACAATAGTCTTTCAAGAAACAAAACTTTATCGGGCTCACTGATTTCTGGTGGCTATGTGGCCTTTCAAGGCCTTCAAGCCAAGAGTCGTACGCTCAGTGGGAGTTAGAGAGAGGCTGAATCTGGGTGCTTGGCGCATTGGGGCCCAGATTCATGTACCCTGAGTATTTGATGCATTAAGAATATGCGTTTTGAGAGTGTGAACTCTTGGGGAGGTGTAAGGGTCACCTCCCAGTCAAGACTATATTGATTAAAATGCCTCATAGTTGATGTGATAAGCCAGGGCTTGGATAATCCAATCGAGAATAATAGAACTCGAGTATTTAAAAAAGTATTCACCTTGTATAGAATGGTCGACTCATGGGATATGAGCCCGTATCCTAACACGAGACCGTTACATGGCATGTACACCCACAACTGTATAGAGAAGCCACTTTTCTATAGTATTATCTAACTTAGAAGAGCTAATGCACATGTACTTTGAAAGAACCTTGTATTTGAGTAGGAACATGTCACACAGGGGTGCACCAATAATCCATTGAACCTCCGGTGGCAGGAAGCTCTGGCTCAACGACTTTGATACGACCAATTATGTGTCCCTACCATAGACTGTGGAGCATAGGTCCGTTGGGTTGACTTGAGACACCGGTGGAACGTCATTCGGGTTAGAGATCTCATTTACCTTTGGCCCAAATTAATCCAAAATTGATGAGAAAATGTATAATAATGTTGAAAAATAATTTGGAGAATTTTTTGGATTCTTTGGAGAATTTTTTGAAATTTTTAAAGCACAAAATTGTTTTATTGAAATCGTTTGGCCAAAATAACGATCAAGGACGAGTCATGGGGATGCCACGTGGGTCCCAAGGAGCCATAGGGATGCCAAGGGGCAGCCTCACATCCCCTTGGGCACTGACATCATGCTGATGTCATTCCCATGCTTGGGGGGCATTGTTGTCTTTTGTTATTTAGTTACATTATGTTTATTTAAAATATTATGTTTTATAATGTTGTGACTTAAGTGAGTTATTTTGTCACATAGTGTTTTGTTCACACATGTGGTTTATTTGACATGTGTGAAGTTATGGGTTTTGAGAATTAATTTGATTTAATATTATTATCCACATATGATTTTGTGGAATACAGGTATATCTTATGTGACACCACCTTATGGGCTTGACCAATGTGAAATTTTAGTGCTGTTAAAATCCTATTAGTGGTGTCATAAGATATTTTATTCATATGTGTTGATGTCCCATATTACCTTTATATCCATATCCTTGCCTTTTATTGACTCTCACAAATTATTAAAAAACCATGGGCATAAATATAAACATGAATTTAGACTTAATGAAAAATAATACGTGGAGCTAAGGACTTTAAGGTAAAATGACTATAAACCTAGGTTTTAAAGAGTGAAGGGTGTCAAAAGCTCATCCATTGAACTTGGTGATAAGATATGGATGAGTCGTTTGGACAAAAGCTTCTCATGTGCCATTGATCTAAGGCATCAAGGATCAAGATCAATTCCACCTTTATAATTTAAGTATAAAAGTAACTTTTGAGATGAATTATAACCTTAACTTGTGTATTCACTTCAAAGAGAGAGAGAGAGAAAGAGAGAGCCCCCTTGACAAAAAGGTGGCCACCTATGAGACTATCTTCTTCATTGAGCTTTCATTTGAAACCTTTCCATGGAGTAGTCCCTCATTTAGAGGATATATCGACCCAATAAATCACGAGAGACTTCCTATATATCATGAGCTCATGAATTGGTCAACAAGTCATATTTTCATATTCCAAAAATGCCTTATTAGGAAGACTATTTTCATTGGTGCTCCTTCTTCATGGGATGGGATGCCCAACAATCTTCCCCTCTAATCCCAAGAGGGAAGTTTCTCTTCGCAGATCAACCAGGTGCTCAAATAGCACCCGTGCCAACTATGCTTCTATATGACTCTTGTTTGTCTTTGGTTAAGGTCTTCGTCATTATATCCGACATACTCTCATTGGTATGGATTTTTCCTACTTGCAACAGTTTCTCACCCTTCTGTAGCTTAGACTGTCATACAACAACTTCCCCTGCAAAAGTAGTCCAGTATCCTGAGATTGACTTCCTGGAGTCTAGTTCTCCAGCAATGTCTTCATCTGTATACCCATGTAACACAGGTTTTCCTCTCCCAAAGCTTAAACAAACTTTAGATGTTCCTTTGAGATACATGAATATATCCAATTGATTATTGCCCAATGTTCCTTGCCAAGATTAGCGATGATTCTACTCACTATGCTTTCGCTACGTGTGCTTTCTACAGCCGACCCATAGGGATCTTTTTGTATGTCTTCCTTCTTCCTCTTGGTTGAAGGGATCTGCTTGGCTCGTGCCTTCTTGCCTTTTGGTAACTTTATCAGGTCATTGTGTGATTCTTATGCAAGGATTTGTCTCATCTTGCATAACTTTAACCCACGCCCCTTTGTGTTTGTCGGCCTGAACTTCCTAATAGATTTCTAGTCCACCCCTTTCAGAGTATATGAGATAGTTTAATGAGGGGTACTTTGTAGGTTTATGTCCCTTAGAGGTCCTTCTCAGTTCAACTGTAGGTGACACTTCTTGAACAGGTTGCTCCCCCTGTTCCACATCACCCGGAACTAACAAGTCAAACTCTTTAGACCCATCTTCTTATTTCACTTCTCATATAGCTTCATTTACCACGATGGGAGGAACCATGATCAGTTTTGAACCATTGAAGATTTGTGGCTTTGCTGGCTTCTTCACGTCTTCAATAGTAAAGTCTTCATGAAAGATCATACCCATATCGCTAATCACCTTTTTATACTCAAATTTGGCGCTATCCAAAATCACCCACATTAGAAAATCCCATATTATATGGGATTGAGATTAATATTGATATGTTTCCTAAAAGAAATAGAAATATAAAAAGATTAGGACTTTTGGATGGATATATCTCTTGGTCTTTTGAGATATATGTAACATTTATAAGAAGTTTTCTATTTTGTATGAATTCCTAATCTTATATTTATGGGATGAGTGCAGAGAATTTGTGTGCCCCCTATTTAGGTCACCATATGGGAAAGGTGGCTTCCTCTAAAGAGAGAGGCAAGGTTTCCTCAACATCGGCAAGTCCTCATCTTAGAGAGAAGAGAGCTTCATACGGAGAAAAACGCCACGGATGTGCCTCCTGTAGATTGGGAGGCTGGTTTCTTATAGAGAAATGGTTCCCATAGATATTTTTAGTTATTTCTCCTTTAGTTAGAGAGAAAGTCAGTTTCTTATTGCTCTTGCGTCTCTATCTGGCATTGTCGGTAATAATTGCCGAAAGTAAAGAGAAGGAAGGGAGAGTAGTTTAAAAGAGTTTGCTCGACGAGGGTCTTATCGAGGTTTAGAGAGGTAACTCTTTGTTCCAAAATTTTTGACGTAACTTTTATTGGTATAGTGGATTTCAGTTTGCCATACCCGTGGATGTAGCACTCTTGGGGTGAACCACGTAAATCTTTGTGTTTTTGTGGTGTGTGTGTTTCATGCTTTATTTCTCGTATTATGGCTCGTGCTATAGCATATTTTGTTTCTAGCTAGATAAGTATACGATCTTAGTGTAATCCAACTTTGGGATTCCTGTTTCCGCATCTAAGAGGGTTCTTAAAACCTAACAAGTGCTATCAGATCACAACAGATGGTATCAGAGCCTGGTTTTGGGTTGTCGGTATGACAGTAAAGGTTTCGAATGCAAAGTTAGAGGTGGAGAAATTTGATAGCAAGCACTATTTTTCAACAAAAATGATGGAGGTATTTATTTGACAAATGACGAAGAATTTATGAAGCTATCCGATGGATGTTGGCATGGTGAGCAAGTGATTTTGATATCAAGGTGGAGATTGTTGGATTTGGTGCTATCCAAAATCACCCACATTAGAAAATCTCATATTATGTGGGATTGAGATTAATCCATATTATGTGGGATTGAGATTAATATTGATATATTTTCTAAAAGAAATAGAAATCCAAAAAGATTAGGACTTTTGGATAGATATATCTCTTGGTCTTTTGAGATATATGTAACATTTATATGAAGTTTCTTATATTATATGGATTCCTAATCTTATATTTATGGGATGAAAGCGCAAAGAACTTATGTGCCCTATTTAGGTCATCATATGGGAATGGTGGCTTCCTTTAAAGAGAGAGTCAAGGCTTCCTCAGCGTCGATAAGTCCTCTTAAAGAGAAGAGAGCTTCCTACGGGGAGAAATACCACGGATGTGTCTCTTGTAGATTGAGATGCTGATTTCTTATAGAGAAGTAGTTTCTATAGAGATTTTTAGTTGTTTCCCTTTTAGCGAGAGAGAAAGTCAGTTTCTCATTGCTCTCGGGTCTCTATCTGATGTTGTCAATAATAATTGCCAGAAACAAATAGAAGGGAAAGTGATTTAAA